ACTCCTCCCCTCCATCAACTGTGGCCACTGTGGGCCACTGAGTGCCCCACCCTGCGTGCCCCACCCTGCTCTAGAGTTTGTGTTGATGTGTGTGATGGCCCTGAGCCTGGCATGGAGTGCAGGGTGTCGGGGTACCTGGTTGAATCCCGTTAACCTCCTCTCTGCCTGTCCCTCCCCCCACGGGCACCCTAGGAGTATGTGAGCTTGGCAGAGGTTCTCCAGCTGTGCTCCCGCCTGGACCCCTATGCTTCTGCCACCTCCCCAGGGGTGCTCGCCCAGCCCCTGCCCGACAGCGAGGTACCAGCCACCGAGTGTGCCCACCTAGGCCCTGGGTTGCCCCTTAGACCTGACTGGGGGTGGGGGTCTATTTGACAGTGAAGGCAAAGGGCAGTTGGCACAGAGGGGTCGGGAATGGTCCCCTTCTTGGGAGCTTTCTCTGGCTCAGGATTGCCGGGGGCAGGGTGTGGTGCTCTAGAACAGGGCTGAGGATGCTGCTCTCCCAGGCTCTGTAGGACACCTCTGCTCTGTGTGCCTAATGCTCTGTCCCCTCCCTGTGGGCAGGGCATCTCTGGCATCCAGTCCCATTAACCTCTTGTGTTCCCTCCTGCGCGGCCTTCCCCCAAGTATGTGACGCTCGAGCAGCTAAAGGCGATGTGGGGCCCCTCGCCCATGCCCCCAGCCCCTGTGCCAGGCTTGCCTCCCTGGGCCTCTGCCTCCCGGGACCTGGTTCCCACCACCTGCCTTCCTCCCGCGCTGCCCTCCTCCTCCTCCTCCGCTTCCATCACGCCTTCGCCCAAGGTTGGTGGTCTGTGTGTTCTCGCCTCCCACCGTGGCTGGCGTGGCTGTCTGTGTGTCGTGCCCTTGCTCCCGTGGCCTCGTGGCACTAGGTCCCCAAGGGGAGCGCTCTGTGCCCGTGGGTGCTGGCGGGCTGGCGTGGCTGGCATAGCACCTATCTGTGGTCTGGGGGTTGCACCCCGTTTCTTTTTGCCTTTAGCACGTTTCTTTTTCTTGGGCAACTGTTGTCTCACCGTTTTCCTCTTCCTTCTCTCTGTGCATTCCTGTCTCCCTCCTTCCCTTTCTTCCTCACCTTCCTGCCCACTTCCCCACATGGCTGTCCTTCCCCTTCTTCCTCCTCCTCCCTGCTCCTGCCTCCTGCCTTCCTCTCCGTCCCGGCCCCTCCTCATGCCCCCTCCAGATGGAGAAGCTGCTGCTCCCTGCTGTAGACTTAGAGCAGTGGAACCAGGAACTGATGGCCGGGCTGGGGACCGGCCCTGCCGCTTCCCCTCGCTCCTCCCCCCCGCCTCTGCCCGCCAAAGCTGCCCGCCAGCTGCAGGTAACCCCCACTTCTGTGTCCCTTCTGCCCAGTTGTACCTATCTGCTCATGGACCTCCTGCCCACCCATTAGCCACACACACCACCAGGGGTGGGGGTCAGCCCAGCCAAGGGCGGGACAAGGTGGTGAGACTCCATCCAGGGCAGCCATCCTGGCACTTGGGGCACTGGAAGGCCAGCCTCCTGAGTCCAAGGGCGGGTGACTGACTGTCCAGTGGATGGGTTGGCTCCTTTGGCGCTGGACTGGGCTGTGGGTCTGCTCTGTCCTCAGTGGCCTCCAGCCTTAGAGCTTCCACCCAGCTTGGGGGTGTGATATGCTCTTGGGCCTGTTACAGCTGAAATAGGTTGTCCTGGCAGATTGCCAGTGTTTCATGCTCCTGGTCTCCACAGCGGTGACACTTGGAGAAAAGAAGGGGACAAAGACTCTGAAGAGGGTCCTGGGGATACACCTGAGCCTCTGCAGAGTCGCCTTCAGAAGCCAGCTGCTGCCCATGGGGTGGGAAGGGCGTGTGGGCGGTCTCCTCCCCAAGTTCTGCCCCCAGACCTGCTCCAGCGTCCAGGACCCATCATTCTAGACTCATACCTGGGGGAGGCTCTGCACCTCTAAGAACGGGACCTCTGCCAAAACTTCCTGCTCTTCCTGGGAGGCATTTGGTCATATCTCCCAGGGTACCAGCTGATCAGACTTTTGCATGTTTTGTTTCATGTAATCATCACCATAGGCCTTAGGGAGATGATGTTGGGACCAGCAGTTGGTGTAACGGCTATGTCGCTGGACTCCCATGTATTTGACTGTGGTTCAAGTCCTGGACCCGGTGGGTTAAAAATCACTTCAGGCGTGTGTGCGTGCGTGCCCAAGATCCTGAGAGGAGAATGGAGGAGAAGGGATTGCGGCATGGCCATCCCCCCTGGGGGGTGCTTTCTCGCTTTCTGTCTCTCTGTCTGTCTCTACCTCTCTGGTGAGCACATGCGCCCTGTAGCAAAAACCTCTTAAAAAAATAAAAAAGGGAGGTGGACATTAAGTGTCATTTCATAGGTAGATGTCAGAGGAGGTAAGGGATCTTCCTGGGGCTGCACAGCTAGGACAAAGCTTGGCTGGGAGTCAGGTTCTCGGCTTCCAGGGCTCCAGTTACTGCGCATCAATGCCACGAGGCCCCTTCCTTTGACAGATAAGGCGCCGAGGCCTAGAGCAGGAAGGTGTGTGATGCAAGGCCACACAGCCTGCCCATGGCAGAACTGGGAGCAGAAGGAAGCTGGCCCTTGGAGGGTCTCCTGCCCAGCTCTAATCACGTTAACTTCCTGTGTGGGTTGCTTCGCGGGTCCTTTCTCAGAACCAGATTGGGCCAGGGAAGGCCTGGGAAGGAGGCTTGACACCCACACAGGGCTGCCTAGGATGTGTTGTCCTGTTGTCAGCCAGAGCCAGAAGCCTCAGGGGCCTGTGCCCGGGTAGCACCTCAGATCACAGCTGGCCTAGGTGACAGGTGGCAGCCACGGGGGACCTGAGATCACCAGGCACTGTCTCCTCCTCCAGGTTTACCGCTCCAAGATGGATGGCGAGGCCACCAGCCCCCTGCCCCAGACCCGCAGTGGCCTCCTCCCATCCTCCTCTGGCTCCTCCTCCTCCTCCTCTCAGCTCAGCGTGGCCACCCTGGGCCGCAGCCCCTCCCCAAAGGTCTGAGGACTGTGGGTGGGGCAGCATGTGTGGTGGGGGGGATGGAGACATCATGCTGGGGACAGCCAAGGCTGCCCATGAAAGCCCTGGTGGTGGGCTTGGGGCCTCCTGAGCACCCCGTTCTAGTGTCCCTTTCCATCGGCAGGGCACTCTCCTTACCCAGAATGGCACAGGCAGCCTTCCTCGCAACCTGGCGGCCACACTGCAGGACATCGAGGCCAAGCGCCAGCTGGCCTTGCAGCAGAAGGGTGAGTGTCTGCATCGCCTGCCTGCTGGCTCTTCTGGGGACCCCAGGTAGCCGTGTCACCTGCCCTACCTTTCTCAAAACTTTTTTCCTTTAATCGGGACCTAGGCAAGTGCAGAAACCATTTAGATTAGATACCCAAAGCTTCCTGGATGTTCATCAAACCATTCTAGGATTGGGGGGGGCAGCAAGTGGTGTAGTGATGTAGGTGCTGGACTCCCACGTGGTTGACCCCGGTTGGAGTCCCGGACCCGGCAGCTTGAAACATGCTGCGCACGTGTGTGTGTGCGCCCAAAATCCCGAGAGAAGAATGGAGGAGAAGGCATTGTAGTGTGGCCATCTCCCCGGGAAGTGACTTCCTGCTTTCTGTCTCTCTGGCGAGCACACATGCTCTATCACACACACGCATACACACACACACGCATACACACACACACACACACACACACACACACACACACAGATTATAGGATGGGCCTGGGGACCTGGGGGGTGTCCTGTCTACTTTCCCCGGAGCCAAGCAAATAAAGGAAACGCCTGTTAACCCACAGAGGGCTAGACCTGCCCTGTCTGGTTCGATGAGCTTGGAAGTGTTCCCTGAGATCCTGGCTCTGGAAGCCCTGCAGTCCCCGTTTGTACACCTTCTGGTTGTTTTGAAAGCCCATGTCTGTGCCTCTCTCCTCTCCTCCCCTCTGTGTCTCTCTACCATACCCTCTGCCCACGGCAGCCGAGGTGCTTCCCGCCCCGCCGTCGCTCCCGGCGGAGCCCCTCCCAGCTGACGACCCAGCAGGTAGAGCCTTGGCCACTGAGGCCGTAGCTTTGACCGGGCAGCCCCTGGTGGGCAGCCGCATGATCTGTCTGTCCAGGCCCCACTGCCTGCAGGCAGCTCCCAGGCCAAGTGGAGTTGAGTGTCTGACAGCCTCCCCTCCCGGTCACCCTCCCCTGCTCTCAGCTATGCTCCTCCCCTCCTGGCCTGCCTCCCTCCCTGCTCTTGTTCTGGCTTCTGCCTTGCAGGGGGCTTTGCCTCAGCACGCTGGCGCTCATGGGGCTTCTGCTGTCCCTTCTCCTCCCTCCCCAGAAGGCAGTGGGTGCATGTGTCCCTCCCTCCCACCTGCTTAGGCTCTGGCTGTGGGCTGGAGCCAGCTCCCACCTCACTGCCAGGGTGCCACCAGGGCAGGTTCAGCGGCCCTGTGGGCTTAGGATGTGGAAGGATGCTGGCCGGTGGTGCAGGCGCCAGAGCACTGGCAGGGATGCTGGCCTGGCGCTGGGGGGTTGCCCACCTCTGCTCACCTCCTCCCTCTGCCATGCTGCCAGTGCCCCAGCCTGGGTGGGCAGGGAGCCCCTGTGACTCCTGTTCCTCCTGCAGGACAGCAGGTGATCGAGGAGCAGCGGCGGCGCCTGGCAGAGCTGAAGCAGAAGGCGGCTGCAGAGGCGCAGTGCCAGTGGGACGCGCTGCACGGGCCGGCGCCCTTCCCTGGGGGCCCCTCGGCCTTCCCTCCACTCCTGCACCACTCTATCCTGCACCACCTGCCTGCTGGCCGGGAGCGCGGGGAGGAGGCGGAGCATGCCTACGACACGCTGAGCCTGGAGAGCTCCGACAGCATGGAGACCAGCATCTCCACCGGGGCCGCCTCGGCCTGCTCTCCTGACACATCCAGGTACGCCTGCACCAGGGCCCACTGCCTCTGCCAGACCTCCTGCCCCTTGACAGACCTCCTCTCTTCCACCCACAGTGCGAGTGGTCTGGACGTGGGGAAGATCGAGGAGATGGAGAAGATGCTGAAAGAGGCTCACGCAGAGAAGAGCCGGCTCATGGAGTCCCGGGTGAGCTGACCTGGCTGTAGGGTAGAAGGCGGTGGAGGCAGGGCTCCCCTTCACCTGCCGGGGCCTGTGTTCCACCCACCCCCTTCTACCCCCATAGCCTGCACTGTTCCCTTGGTGCAGAAAGTGTTTAAAATTAGTTTTTTGGGGGGCTAGCAGGTGGCATTGTGGTTAAGAGTGCTGGGCTCCACATGGCCCACCATGGTCTGAGTCCTGGACCTGGCAACTTGCTTTCTCTCTCTTTCTTGCTGTGTCCCTCTCTGGTCAAATGTATGAGTAAATAAATAAAGTTAAATGAAGTAATTCTTAAAAAGAAAAAAACTTAGGGTTCCCACATAGTCAACCATGGTTCGAGTCCTGTACTCGGCTGCTTAAAACACATGCCACGCACTTGTGCGTGCATGCCCAAGATCCCGAAAGGAGAATGGAGGAGAAGGGATTGCGGCATGGCCATCCTCTGGGGGGTGATTTCTCACTTTTCCTCTCACTATCTCCCTCTGGCAAGTGTACACACTATAGTAAAAATCTTTAAAAAAAAAAAAAAGTAAAATAAAACTGACATGCTCTTTATTTTATGATTTCCTTTAATATAACCTGTTTTTTGGGGGGAGGTTTTTTGTTTGTTTGTTTGTTTGTTTGTTTTGCTATAGGTCATGTGCTCTTGTCAGAGAGACAGAAAGAGAGAAATCACCCCCAGGGGGGATGGCCACGCTGCAATCTCTTCTCCATTCTCCTCTTAGGCTCTTGGGCACGTATGCACATGCACCCGGGGTGAGTTTAAGCCACTGTGTCCGGGACTCAAACCGCGGTCAACTATGTGGGAGTCCAGTGACATAGCCATTGTGCCAATTGCTGGTCCAGCCTTTAATCACTTTTAAAATCTTTTGGTGATGGTTTTATAAGTTCAATTGGGACCTTACTTTCCAGTCACACTTCCCCCTGTAAACTTCAACGAATGTTTCTAATGTGGGGTTCTGAAGGTCCTTAAGTTAGGGCTGGAGAAGGACTACTTACTGAGTATATTAGCTGTCAAGAAAAGTTGTTTGGGCCATCTGTGTCCTAGGAGTTCAGGTAAAGAGCCCCATTTATTCACCGAGAGCTGCTCTCTTACAGAATCAGTGGTGGGCATTTATGTACATAACCCCATCTCATTTTCACTGCAATCCCAGGAGTATGCATTCTTTAACATTTTTTAAATTTACATTTTATTTATTTTTTAAAAAGAATTACTTATTTAATTTAATGTTACTATTATTCTTCTATTTGAACCAAGAGAGAGAGAGGGAGAGGGAGAAAGCAAGCTGCCAGGCACAAGTCCAATGTCTTAACCACCATGCCACCTGCCAGCTCCATAATTTTTTAAATTAAAAAAAAAAAATGCCAGTGGATACATGCACATACATGAGACAGACAAAGACAGAGACAGTACCCCTCAATGGGGCCTGGTCATGCTGCAGTCTTTTTTCCCAGTTCTCCATCCTGTCAGAATCCTGGGTATGCAGATGCCCAGCATGAAGGGGGTGAAACTAGGACTCGAACCCGAGTTGGCCATGTAGAACCTGGTTCCCTCTACACAGCTTCTAATCACTGTGCTATGGGACTGGCCCATGTAGACATGCTTAACCAACCCCATTATACAGATGAGACACTGAGGCTTACAGAGTTGGAATGATCCTGTCAGGGTCATGGAGCCCTGAGTGGAGGCAGCACCAGGTTCAAAGCCAGGCAGCCAGCCTTTCAAGTCTTGATCCTTAACCAGCCGGCTCTTGGAGGACGTGGACTTGGAGGATGGATGATGATACCTCCACTGCCTGGCCACCACAGAGGTGCCCCTGCAGCTTTCCCCAGGCCTGAGGGGCACCGTCCTGGGGCAGAGGGCACTGAGTGCTGGCTTTGGGAGCAGGAACGGGAGGTGGAACTGCGGCGGCAGGCCCTGGAGGAGGAGCGGCGGAGGCGGGAGCAGGTGGAACGGAGGCTTCTGAGTGAGAGTGCCCGGAGGCAGCAGCTGGTGGAGAAGGAGGTCAAGATGCGGGAGAAACAGTTTTCGCAGGTGAGTAGGTGGTGTGGTCGGGGGTTGGCTTAGGGGAAGGGCTATGGAAGAGTAGGGGCATCCTTGGGTGGCTCTGCTGGTCTCTAAAGCCTGCTCTGCTCTGGGATACATTGGCCCCAAAACACTAGGACCCCCGGGGCTTGCTCAAGCCAGTGTGTGTGTGTGTGTGTGTGTGTGTGTGTGCGCGTGTGTGTGTGTGTTGGGGCGGGTGCACTGTGAGACAGTGGCCGGCCTTCTGGAGATGGGCACCAAGAGGACCCTTCGCCTCGTGTCTATCTACTGAGTCTGGGCTGTACCCTCCCACCACTCCCCTGCTGCCCCTCCTGCATGTGGCCTCATCCTGAGGACCTTTCAGCTCCAGTCCCTATATCAGCAGGCGAATTCACTCTGACTTCTGGTTTACGTCTCAGAGAGAGAGTTGTGCTAGCTTCTCCTTCAGACAGAAGGCCATCCTCGCTCAAAGTCTAGCCCCGCCCTTCCCCATGCACAGGGATGAGCTCATCACGTGAAGGCAGAGGAGAACTCGGGTCGGGCAGGGAAATCTACCCCTGTCTCTGGTCCCAAGTCCTGAACCCGTGAAAGGTTGCAGGACGCAGATGGGCTGTCCCTTCTGATTGAGTCCCCATAGGCCTCCTCAGGGTAGGAGTCCTCTGAGGCCTGCCCCAACAGCCAGCAGCAGTACACGCGGTGTGGTGACCAACAGCGGACAGGGGCCACTGGGGATTCAGAAATAATCTGAAACTGTGATTTTCTTTTTTCTTTTTTTAAAGAATTGTTTTTTATTTAACTTTATTTTAATTTGACCAAAGAGGGAGAGAGTGAAAGAGAAAGAGTGAGGAAGTGAGAAAGCAAGCCACTAGGTCTGAGATTTGAAACATGGTTGGCCATGTGGGAGTCTAGCACCCTTAACCACCATGCCACCCGAAACTAGTTTTTCACCTCTGGTTCAAGTGCTCAGCAAATATCTGGCTTCCCTTTCCTGTCCCTACCAGTTACTACTCTGGACACTCTCCTCTGGCCTATCCTGGGGTTCAGACATCACTGGAGGGACCACTAGTGTCTGGTGTGGGATGGAGATAGACTTAATCTATATTTGGGGGACCACCTGGAAGTTCTGTGTGTGTGTGTGTTTTAAGAGAGATTTCTTTTTTGCTATAGGGTGCACGAGCTCACCAGTGAGACAGAGAGACAGGAAGTGAGAAATCACTCCCCAGGGGGGATGGCCATGCCGCAATCCCTTCTCCTCCATTCTCCTCTCAGGATCTTGGGTACGCATGTGCATACGCCCAGGGTGAGTTCTTATTTATTTCTTATTTATTTATTTATTTTAAGAATTATTTTAACTTTATTTATTTATTTATTTATTTATTTATTTTAATTTGACCAGAGAGGAGCAAAGTGAGAGAGAGAAAGTGAGAAAGCAAGCTACCGGGTCCAGAACTCTTAACTGTGGTCGGCTATCACCACGCCACCAGCCAGCCCCCAGCATGAGTTTTAAGCCACCAGGTCTGGGACTTGAACCACAGTTGACTATGTGGGAATTCAGCATTATAACCATTATGCCATCTGTTGGTCCTCCTATAGCAATTTTTTTTGAAAATTAAAGCACTCACACAGGACCAACAGATAGTATAGTGGTTACGTTGCTAGACTCTCACATAGGCAACTATGGTTTGAATTCTGGACCTAGCAGCTTAAAACTCACACCAGGTGTATGTGCATGCATGCCCAAAATTCTGAGAGGTTAATGGAGGAGGAGGGATTTTGGTGTAGCCATCTCTCCTGGGGTGATGGTTTCTTGCTTTCCATCTCTCCAGTGAGTTCACACATCCTATAGCAAAAATCTCTCTTAAAAAAAAAAAAATTGCGGGACCGGTGGTTAAGGCATTGGATGCTCCCACATGGGCGACCATGGTTTGAGTCCCAGAAAGTAAGATGGCTTACTTTCTCACTTTCTCTCTCTCTCTGGTCACATTAAAATCAATGAATGAATAAATAAAATTTAAAATAAATAATTCTTTAGGACAAAAAATATCTATGGGGCACATGTGCTTGCCAGAGACAGAGAGAGAGAGGGAAAGTGAGAAATCCCTCCTCAGAGGCATGGCCACACTGCAATTCCTTCTCCTCCATTCTCTTCTAGGGATTTTGGACGTGTGTGCACACACACACACACACACACACACACACAACATATCCGGTGCACTTTTCAAGCTGCTAGGACCAGGACTTGAACCATGCTTACAGCCATGTGGTTTCCAGATGCCTTAACCTCTACACTACCAGCTGACTCTTTTTTATTTTTAAATATAATTTGCGTTTCCTTTTTTCCAAATTAATGTTCTTCTGGGAAGGGAAGAGTAGAAGATATTCCACATGGGACTAGCGGTTAGCGTAATGGCTATATTGCTGGACTCCCACGTAGTCGACCGCGGTTCGAGTCCCGGACCCGGTGGCTTAAACTTACACCGGGCACGTGTGTGTGCCCAGGATCCCGAGAGGAGAAGGGATTGCGGTGTGGCCATCCCCCCTGGGGGGTGATTTCTCGCTTTCTGTCTCTCTGTCTCTCTCTGTCTGGCGAGCACATGCGCCCTATAGCAAAAAAAAAAAAACTCTAAAAAAAAAAAAAAAAGATATTCCACATGACTGAGGTCGTAGAGGTGGGGTAGACCGTTAGTGATGAGCTGTGTGAAAGTCCTTGCTTTACGACAGGGAAACTGAGGCCTAGGGAGAGGGCGTAACCTGAAGAAGGTCCACAAGAAATCAGAGACCAGATTTCTTTCTTTTTACAATTTTTTTTCAATTTTTCTGTTTATTCCTTCCATGAGCAAAAGAGAGAGACAGAGAACAAGCCAGCACCCCCAACACCAGAGTCTCAATACCGTGATTCACCCCTGGCCTCGGCCAGGCCCAAATCATGTGTTGTACACATGTGCCTGGTGTGCCCAGGAAGGTCTGTGGATACAAACCAAGCCATGTGGCCAGCCTCACCCAGTGTTGCCCCTGACCCCTAGCCACTGTCTGGCCCTCGCAGACCAGCTCCTCATCACACCTCTTCCCCGAGCGTGCTTCTGTCTGGCCTCTTGCTTTACTCTCTGCAGCCCCCAGGGGAGAGGCGGGGTGGGGACAGGATAAGTGGGTTGCGTCTTGATCACAGCTGGGGAAACCAAGACACAGAGCCATTTAGCATTCCATCTGGCAGAGTTGGCATGGGCACGACAGCCCTCCACTGGTCCCAGTCTGGGAAATCAGGGGACAGTCCTGGGGCCAGGGAGGGGGCAGTGGCGGGCTGTTGGGGTTCAGGGCTGAAGTACTCAGTTGATGACGGGAAAAAAAGAGACTGCTGCCCCTGTCCCTCCTCCTAGGCGCGACCCTTGACCCGCTACCTGCCGATCCGGAAGGAAGACTTTGACCTGAAAACCCACATCGAGTCATCTGGCCATGGCGTTGACACCTGCCTGCACGTGGTGCTCAGCAGCAAGGTGTGGGAGTGTGGCCTGGTGCTGGCAGGGGACCCTGAGCCCAGGGGAGGCCTGGGACAGACAGCCCCCATGCGGGCGTAGGCGATGGCGGGCACCTAGCCAGGGTGCTCAGGAAGAAAGCTTTTAGGGCCACTGCTTGGCCTCCCTCACTCCCGCTTCCCACCAGGTCTGCCGTGGCTACTTGGTCAAGATGGGCGGCAAGATCAAATCCTGGAAGAAGCGCTGGTTCGTCTTCGACCGGCTCAAGCGCACCCTTTCCTATTACGTGGGTGAGTTTCCCCAGGGCCATCAGGGCTCTGTCACTCAGGACAGCTGGCCTTCTGGAAGGAGAGCCCCACGGGCACAGGCTGGGCCTTGTCCTAATCTCTGAAAGTGTACGGTGCAGCTGGTCCCCTCCAGGTATGCACGTGCATCCCTTCAGCAATGTCACTGCACGGCCCTTCACCATCACTGAGCGTCCCTGGTGTTCTGGGCACTGTCCACGCTCTGGTGAAGCATGTAGCCGCAGCCCTGTCCCATGGGACCGTTATCAGGGAGGCAGTTGAGGGGCAATTGAGGCCACCAGGGTGTGCTGGAGATCAAAGGACCTCCCCCTCCCCAGACGAGGTCCCTCAGAGACTCCAAAAGAAGCAGTGGCACCAAGGAGTGCTCAGGACAGTGGGGACAGCCCATCAGCACACCCCGCTCTGCTCCCTCTGCTCCATCTTGGATGCTTTCCCTCTCTGGAGCTCCCTGGGGCGGGATGCCGTCTGACCCTGGCCAAGAGCACCTTGGTTCAGAGCCACACGGTTTCCTCCTTCCTCCCAAGGCGGACCCATTGCGGTTGGGACTGGGCAGGGGCTCTGCTTCGCATCAGCATTGTCTCAGCCTCAGGGCACCCTTCTGGAACATTCCTGGCCACTGCAGCAGGAGAGAAGCTTAAGTGGGCCTCGCATTGGCATTAAGTGTCCCAGCAGGAAATGACACGTTGTCTTGTCTCTAGTCACTGCTGGGGCCCTTCCAGCCACAGCTGGGAAGAGCAGAGTACTAGGAACCTGGAGGGGAAAGGACTGCAGGGTTTGGTACCAGAGATGCCCAGGTCTGGGGTACCCTGCTTCCCCCAACCTGGTCCCTGATTGAGAGCCTCCAGTTCCAGGAAGCTTTCCAAGCCTAGGCGTGGAGGGCAGAGGCACAGGTGTCTCCATTTCCCACCAAGCTGGGAATGCAGAGGGACTGTCTGGGTGGGACAACTGGCCTGGGAAGAAGAGCTGCATTTCAGCGACGTCGAGGTCATGTCTCCTGGGCCATCTGGGTTTAGGAGAAAGGCCAGGATTAGAGCCAGAGCGATAGCACCGTCTAGTGAAGTAATAGCGGCCTAATAGTAGTAGCTGGTCACACCCAGTGAGCACATGTACCACCAGGAGCTGTGGCGCGCTCCACTCGCAGCATCTCAGCTAACTGTTATCCTAGAAGAAGCTCTACGTTTATGGCTATTTTACCTGTTTTCCTAATTGCCAGGGGGCACATGTGCTCATCAGAGATAGCGAGAGGGAGAAAGCACCCCAATGGGATATGGTCACGTTGCAACCTCTGCTCCCATTTTCCACCCTATTGGGACTGGGGACATACACGTGTCCAGCATATTTATTCTTTTTAAAGAATTATTTGTTTTATTTGTTATTATTTTTTAAATTGGACCTGAGAGAGAGAGAGAAAGGGAAAGTGAAAAAGCAAGCCACCAGGTTCAGGACTTACATTGCAGTTGGCCATGTGGGAGCCCCGCACTTTATTATTTTATTTCATTTTTTAAAGAATTATTCATATAATTTTATTCATCATGATTATTATTATTTTAATTTGACCAGAGAGAAACAGAGACAGAATGAGAGACAGGGAAAGTGAGAAAGCAAGACACCCGCTCCAGG